TTGCCCTATAAAATTAAGAACTTAACTTGTATACTATTAAAATATGGGTTATTAGCTAAGATTTTATACTATACTAATTGGTATAACATAAACAAAAAGTAGTTTAATAAAATTTTGAATGTAAGACACCTTGTGTCATGCACAGTAAAGGATACCCAGGGTGAGAGGGTTAATAAGTACTTTATATGCACCTTTATATGACAGAAGCTAACTTTATTATAACTTGGAGTATGAACAGATTTTGCCTTTTTGTTATTCCTGTTAAGTACTACTCACATGTAATTGACAAGTTTAAAATTTTCACAATATTTGTTTGACTTGGATATTCATGCAAAGTTACAGAAGGGTTTGACTCCACTGTACATCATTAATTTTCAAAATGACAGTCTTCAGAGGAGGTAACTAGTCAAAAGTGCCTTCCACCAACTCATGGGCTAATCTAATCAAATAGTAGGATTTGACCATCACTCTTAAAATGCACCCACAGCCCCAAAGTGCAGAGCATGGTTTTGCATCATCAGGATGTGAAGCATGGTTCCTTGGATTCACAGTCTGGCATACTAATCACGAGGACACACCTGGTCATCATGACAATCCATACTGAAAATAATGAGTGTTAAAATAATATTTGAATATTTTTTTAAGTGATAAAATTTCTAATATTACATTGTATTATCTTTGGTTATCAGTGACTAAGTACTTTCTAAATAATCATTTTCTTGTATATTAATGTTTGAAATAGTTTAATGATAACTATATGCTCCAAATCTTGAAGATCTCGTAATTTCCTTTCTTATTGCTGACTGTTCACAGTACAGTTTTACCAAAGTAACTCAATTTTGAATTCCATATGCTAAGTGCATCATTTTACACTGATCAGCACTTTGAATTTATGTTCAGTGATCTGGTCCACTTTGTAAAACAGGGCAGATCCTTCTGAATGAATGAAACATTCTTCATGGAGTCAATTTTTCACAGTGCTTTAGTATCACCAGCCAGTTTATGAAGTAGATTACAGTAAATGTAACCTTATTACATGAGATTCAGCTACTAGGTTGTACCATTGTAAAGATTCATTGTGAATTTATTGCAAACAGAACTCTGAAGAACCCTGCTAGTCACACACTTCCAGTCAGTAAAAGGATCATTTATCGCTACTCTTATGTCACCACTTCTTATAGAACTTAACTTACTTTTTAGCCTTTTATCAATGACTTTTCAAAAACTAACTGTAATAACCATGTGTGCTTTCAGTATAGCAGAAAAGAAAGAGAAAAACAACCTTTTAAAATCATTATGTATATTATTGATTAAAACAACATTAGGATGATTTTCAAGAGATTCCCAACACTCATTATTAAATAACAGGGTCAAAGTAACAAGCCTTTAATTTTCTGAGTCGTTTCTGTTTGCTTTGTATGTGATTATTATGTATTATTTTTTTATAATATAAGTGTTTATTCTTTTAGATTAGTTTGTGAAGTAGAGAGTCCAGTAAATTTAACATCATCGCATGGGTCTCAGCTATCAGGTCCAATTGTTGTGAAAATTCAGCATGAATTTACAGCAACATCTCTTGGGAGATATTCGTTTGTTGTAAGTATGTCATTGTTAATTACCCGCACATTTAACAGGTGAAATGAACATGTTCTGTTGTAAATGTCATTGTTTCATACACTTGAAGTTTTTATTTTTAGTACATGAAATAATTCTATTTTATCAAATGCAGTGTATAAATCTGTTGAAATTTGTTTTACACACTCATCCTACTGCCACTACTGTGGGTTAAACATGTGCAAGTGCTTGTTAGAAAGTACACGTTTATTCTGTTTGATCTAGTACTTTTGGAATCTATACTGTAACACAGCTGGAAAAGTTGATACAGGAAAGGTCCAGCATAAGTAATTTTCTGCATGATTATCAAAATTTATTTATTTTAAGATTTACAGAATTGTTATAATGCATAGAACTTTTAATCATTGCTTCTTATTGTATAGAACCTATGCATTAATTTTTTTTCTTATGGAAATGAAGTACTGCTGATTGCTCACTTTCTTGACTTTAATGTCAAACTTTAAAATAAGACACTGGTAGTTTTATAAAGTTGTAAACATTTGTTTTGAAAACAACCATCATTCTGCACTAGTACTTGAGTTTTGTCCAGTTTAAGTGTACAATATTGAAACTGATTGCTACTATATATATGAACAAACTGGCCTGGAAATAACCAGTTGATCAATAGATATTAGCCTAAGAGAAATGCTTGACAAAAATTCAAGTGCAGATTGTATATTTTGGTATCAAGACAGAGAACAAAAGTAAAGTTTGTTCCATTCTTCAGTTTCTATGGAATTAATAACCATACATTTTATCTAGGGAAATAATATAAATTTCAGATGTATATGTATCCTGAGAAGGTAATTCAACATTTTAATGAAATTCTTTTTTGAATATATGGGGGTTTTAAAGGTAGTTATTAATTTCATATTATGAACTCTACTTAAAGTATAAAAAGAAATCAAGTATTAAAATAATTCTTATGTAGTGAAGGTGGATATCTAATATTTAGGTTGAGTGTTAATTAAAACAACTTTGAAGCCTCACCATGATGTTAGTCAGTGGTCATGCTAAATTTTTGTCCATGAATTACTAAACATACTTACCAAAAAATGCACATCTCATGTTTCATGAACTGTATTTAAGTACTTATCTATTGGTTCTTTGCACAAAATTAATGTAATCTTACCATTTTGCCGAGATAAACACGGTGTTGTGATAAATAATGCTTGTAATTCATTTATTAGCAAGGTTTTAGACAATAAGTTGACACATATGTCTGATATTTTGCTAATTTCTTTGCTATTCAATCTAAAAGGTGGCAAATATATCCTTTTATTTTAAGAAACATTGTTTTGAATTTTTTGTATACATGCATATATATATATATATATCTCCAGAATAGATCTCATTCAAAGCTCAGAGTTATGTATGTAGCTTACCAGAAAGAAAAGCCTAAATAGAGTTTAAAAGTTATACAGGCTATTTTTCATCAATTTTGACAAAATATTACTTTAGTTAATAATATCAAATAGAATTCTGCCGAGTTTAACTCGTATAAGCTGAAGAACTGGCTTTTGTTAAAGTATTTTGATTGCTTAATATTTAGATTTATTTTTTATTGGAATTCCTAAATAGAAAATAAATATTAAGAGGTAAAATTTGGATTCTGTAAGTTGTAGAACATGTTTCTCGATCAACTTAAAACAAATTATTGGAATTAAATTACAAAATAAGTAACATTGTATTATCTTGAATTTTTATTTTCAGTCATATTTAATCAGAAATCAATCTAAAAAAGCAAAAATTAAAGGGTGAAATTAAATGAAAGTAAAAATTAAACAGCTTAACATAATGGAAAATGTTCTCAGTGTTATGCATTTAAAAAGATCATTAAGACTAGGTGTCTTTAATGAAGTTATTATGGATATTTAAAAGCAGAACTTGCTCCTATCTTCAGTAGTGAAGATTCTGATCACCTCTACATACATTGAAAGAATTATCAAAAGCCTCTGCTGTGTTCTACAGTTATGCTGCTTTAATCTAAATTGAGAAATTTGTTAACGGAACTTTTTGAGCAACATTTAAGACATTGAAATTCTAAAAAAGAAAATTCTTTTATTATTTATTCTCAGCTGTGTTTTGTAACAAATGTTTTTATGTTTTAAAACATAAAAATTAAAAAAAATTAAGAATGTATTCAATCTGAATGGAGATACTTTTTTTTTAATAATTTGGTTCTATGTTTCATGCACTTTGGTTGAGTATTTCATTGTCAGAAGAAAAAAAAATCAAATGATGTCATAGACACTCTCCCAGCTTGGAAAGGGTTAAGATGCATCTTGCATTATTATTGCATCCCCTTCCCATTTTATGCATCCTGTGAATGTAGAATGAGTTTTTTTTCCCTGTTTAATTAATTTATTTTGTGGTAGCACATCTATTGTGCAGTCCATGTCACCAAATCCAGTCATAACGATTGTACATCTTCACTGAAGTTTCTTCTGTAAAAGATTTTGTCATAAGGCTGTCATATTGAAACCTCATCACTACTCTCTACATGGTTTATATAATTCATCTACTGTACAAAGACAGTTGTTTTTCAGTACCCATTTTAACAGTGTGATCACACAGAAATCCATAGTGCTGTGACTGGTATGTCTTTCTATAGAATAGCATTGATGCTCTTTTCTTTCTCCAACTGCTTGAGATATGCTGCAGTTAAACAGAAGGTATGACTTAGTGAACCCATACTTTGTAGACTTCATTTCCAGATGATAATCCTTCTTGATTATGTTGCATACTGTTGCTTGAAGTATGTGAATAGCTTTTACCACTGACCTTTATGTTCATGGTTTCTCACCAATTATAAGAATCTGTACTTTGCTTACCATAGCTGGAGCTTGACTAGTTAATAGTCTATTTTTGGATGGTCCTGGTACCTCAGGTTGATCCATGTTCCTTTTTTTTTTTTTTTCAAATGCAGTTGAGTAGAAGGAATATTCTGATCTTTGAAATTCTAAGTCAGTAATCCGAACACATCTATGTTATTTGAGTGTATAAATATTTTGCACCAGAAAGGGCTATTACATACCCTTCCCAAAAATGATCAAATTTTGTTGGCATCACACTACATACAAAACACCAAACAATGTCACAATGTAGTTCTGCTACCTTTTGTTCTACTGCATTTTTATATTTATTGTATTTGCCACGTGTCTTGATGACTTGCATATTAAAAATTGTTTTGTTATAACTTACTCAACCTTCCATAGTCTGTTCTGTTGTGAATTTGTTAAAGCAATTTCAGGACATTATAGATATTAAAATATTAGCTTTAATAGGCAAAGTAATTTTGTACAGGATTACTTATACTGTTAGCTTTACAAAACGCAGGACCCTAAGTTTTATGAGATTACGTGGCTGTGGCATTTTTTGCATAACTTACACATGCCTGCATAATCAGTGTTTGACTGTATAATCAGTCTGAATATCTAAACTTGGTGAAGCTATGTCAGCATTACCAGGATTTAACTTTTGACTTAATTATGATGTAATTTATTTCTTGTTACTTGGCAAATGGTGCCTGCTTGCTAAACTCTGATTAATGGCTTAGCAAAAGACTTCTCAGTATGTTTGTTGCTATTTTATAACAATAAGTGTTAAATTGCATTTGATGGTGGAAATCAATTAATTATGTCTAACATCCTATTATATGTTATTGTTTTAAACTGTTTTTATTTTTGTGCTTAATCAGCAAGTTTATGGTGCATAAAGTAATTCCAATATTTTTGCACATTAAAATTGGGGCCCTAGAAATGTAATTTGTGGAATAACTTTTGTTAGGAATTGTAGGTTTGATAGGAAGAAGCATCATTAACATACTTGCTGTTTAAAACTGTTAGTATTATGGACACTAGTTTCTTTTAAGCACTTAATGTATAAATAGTTTCATGAGGTTTTTGTTCTTTTAGAAAAATATTGAGTTTAATATTTTTCAGCATCTCTTTAAACTACAGTGACTCTTTTATAAATATAATTGTTTTATTTTCACTTTTCACCAACAAAACATGAAGCTTTCCTAGTCTCGTGAATTCTTTTCAGTTCCTCCCTGTTTTGCCGATGTACATTACACACTTTTTTATCATATCACTAGTGTGTTTTTTCTCACAATATATGTCGTAATATTTACTCAGAATAAGACATTAAACTGAATTGTGTTTTAATATTAATCTCAAGCATAATGTATATTAGACACTTTATCATATCACTAGTTTTTTTCCCACAATATATGTCGTAATATTTACTCAGAATAAGACATTAAACTGAATTGTGTTTGAAAATTAATCTCAAGCATAATGTACATTAGACACTTTTTTATCATATCACTAGTGTTTTTTTTCTCACAATATATGTCATAATATTTACTCAGAATAAGACATTAAACTGAATTGTGTTTGAATATTAATCTCAAGCATAACTAGTCAATGCCTGATGTCTTTTCTAGTTTTGATACCTTCTCTATGGAATCCTTTCTGGTGCTTACTTAAATAATTTGAAATTATTATTAAGTACATGTGCTTTTTTTAGTTAATTATTAGCTACTTTTTTTTTACATTCAGAATCCAGCAATTGCTTCCATCTCGCCTAGTAAGGGTCCACAGTCTGGTGGTACTCTTCTCAAAATATGGGGACTTCATATGGATGCTGGCAGTCATGCAGAAGTGTGGATAGGAGGGTTGAAATGCCCGGTGTTAAGGTATGTAGCAAAAATAAAAGTGATGTAAACAAAGTTATATTTTTGTGTAGGAGCATGCTCTGTATGTTGAGATAAAGAAATAACGTGTTATATCAAGGTACTTATTATTATGCAAAGAATGGTTGAAGTATGTAGTTTTGATCATTGTAATGTTTGCTGTAATTCAATAAATGGAAATCAAGTCAAGCTTGCTTTCCTACTTTTTGAATTGATGCAAAGTGACATTTGATGAAACTATTTATAAAGGCTGCCTAGGATAGATATTAAAATGGACATATCTTAAGGACTTTGATTCCACATTTTAACCATATTATCATGAACTTTAATTTTAGGTAATTGTTAACCTTTTCTAACACAGTGGAATAATACTGACCACCTCTGACCTTGCATTAACCCTTTCATCTACTTTGTTGACTTGCATTCAAAATTTTATTGAAGTACTACTTCATAAATTTATGTCATTAACTTTGGTATAAAATTGTAGATTATAATTCAAATTTTAGTACTATACATTACTCAATTTCTTAATTTAAAAGCAAATATTAAAAAAATGCAGATAAACCGCGATTTCTGTGTGTGACGTGGTATATTGAATGCAGAACTGGTTCAAATTAGATGTTTGTGAAGTATAAATACTAAGTCTATAGTTTCGTACGAATTAGAAACTCAAATTGCAGATAATGACAAGCTGGAATATAAAATAAGAGCCTCTTATCTTTTCAGTATGTAAAGATATTGCTCATGTAATAAATCAAACACAGTGGCACCCTGCCCACCTCTTTCCATTTTTGGAAATGCTCTTATATATACTTACGTCTATATATGACATAAA